TAACACAAACACTCCCTTTTCTTGATTTTCGTCTTTTAAAATTCGGGTTTAAAAAGGAAGTCAATTGGTTCTAATTCTGTGAATTCTTCTAATTCTGTTATAGTTTCCAATGTGGAGGAAGTAGGTTGTCCCATAGAATACATTTGCTAAAGCGGCTCAAACACTCAGAAGGCAGTCGCATTCCGAGCCCCAAAGATGTGTTACTTCCATCCAGAAGCTTCAAAGTTACATTTAATAGTTGAATCCGCACAACTTCTCCAAAAGACAATGCAATGATATACGGCACTCGAACACTGGTCCTCATAATGAGAGTGCAATATAGTCACAATGGTGCGAAGCAGGAGACCAAGTGGCAAAATAACTTGATTACCTTGATTTAAAATATATACTGTGCTTTTTTGAGTATGCATCACGCGAGCAACATGTAAGAATGCTTCCATACTTTGCACTTTTCATTCGGGCAGGAAGATAAGTAATTTTGTCTCGTTTTCCTTCAATGGTGTCTATAATGTGCAATGAGCAAACAAAAATATTTAGTCCAAAAACAATGCATTGAATGGTCAAACATCATGGAGTTTGAAATTCCTCAATCAACAAACAGTGCTTGTAAGCTTATCTGATATTCGCGTACAAACATCGTGGGTAGCGGCATTTTCGAACTGATTTTGCATAAAAGCAAGGTCCCGTCAAATCCTCCAATGCCTTTTTCTCTCACTCGAGGCAGTATCCTAATTCCAATATGCACTGGCAGAGTGATGAAATGATAAACAGTGGGGTAAAAGTCTTCCATGGGCGGCAAATAGGCTTTTCTGAAGCTGAAAGCTTCCGTTATAGAATTCTTGTGATCGCGACTGTGGTAGTGTGCACGCCAGGAGCTGAGGCAAGAAAGAGGGAGGATTTGTGAGTGGGATGTGAGTCCCAGGCGGGTTTCGCGCCATTTCGGTTCTTACTTGTCTGCGGTAAGTTTGTTGGTGGGCATGTTATGCGGTGGCATAAAAGCCCGCCACAGTAATCTTTACTTGATAGGTGCCTGCAAAAAAACTGATTCCGATTTGGGTACTTTTGGTGGAGGGCTTTGTAGAGATTGTTATGAGTGAAAATTGGCCGTTAAATCTTAGTTACTTTAATGTATTCATTTGAGGAAGGGGATATAACAACGGCAAGAGAAAAAAGAAGAACTACCGAAGTGATTGAACGAACAGTAGAAGAAGAAAAAATTGTGGTTTGTAATAGTTTACAGTTTGAATATTGAGCAGCAACTACTGGTCAAGCATAGCCGAAATACTCAGTCAAATAGTCAGTCTACTCTATAAAAGCTCAGCGATTGGCTTCACTAATTTTGCACCACGGTTTGCCTATTCAACCGATTGGACAATTTTCGCTTTGAGTGAAAACATAAAAAGCCGCATCAATGTTGGCTTATGCATATTTGGAGTAATTGTATTTCTTAATAGTTACGAGCTAGCAATCTTCTCCCTCTTACATTTACGCATTATTCGTCGAAAACTTCTCCTAAAATGGAATTCTTTATCTTCTGATTCATTTGCGCGGAACAACTCTGAAGTACTCTCAAGTGTTACGCTTATGATCTGAATCTTAAAACAAAAGCCTACTAGTGTGATTGCTCATTAGTAGCAACCATGAGAAGATGAAGGTCGTCAAACGCAGAGTAAATCTTTCAGAATCAACTTAGCGACCGTCAAGAGCTGATCCGTGAAGAAATACTCTCACCAGCTGCACAGGAGATTGTTCCTTTAGCAGGACCTCGGAAACCTGAGCTACTGCCTCTTGATGACGAAAAAGTTCGCGACGAGTATGTTATGCTGTCAGCGCAAAGTGAGGAGGCTTATCACATGGAACCTCAGCAAATGAACTTAATACCTACTGAAGACGAGGAACTGCGTGAATCTTTTGATGAATTGCCCGTAGCTTCATCAGATCAGGTCCCACAAATTCCTCCTCAGAAAGTGGAACTTATTCCAATTGAAGATGAGCAGTTGACTGAGACTGTGCAAGGAGTCGTGCAACCAACAAGTGAAGTTGTAGACATAAAGAAGGCGCAAGCAATTGAGATGATACCCTTCGAAAGCGAGGAGTTACGTGAATCTCTCAGTGAAGTGGTTATCGCCACAAGTCAGGA